TACGGAGGTGTTCTTGCATTTTCTGTTCCATTTGTAGGATAATGGACTCAGCGTTAGGGTCTCTTTCATCGATAAGTTTTCGTTTGGCAGCCTCCAATTGCTCGATTTCCTTTTGACGATCGCGTTCATCCGCTGCTTCTTCAACTTCCCTATCGGCCAAACGCCCCTGCAGAGCGCTTCCCCTATGAGAATTAAATGCAATTAAACAGAGCGTTAGTAGCCCACCGTTTGGCACAATAACATAAAACACGTGTTCTGGTGTGCGATTAGAGAAATAGTCTTTTTAATGGAAAACTTGGCTGAATTATTCTGGAGGAAAGTGACGGTCGATCTCAAGCTTGATAAATGAAGCATCAGTGTTCAATTAATGTCTATCAATATATAATTAATTCAGACTGAGCGAGTAGGCAGTCATGTAACGGGTTTCCCAGTAAAATATTCCCGAGAAAATGGGCTATGTGACAAAGGGCAACTACCGGTTAAGTTATTGAAATGCAGTTTCGACACGCTTTGCTCTAAACAGACAGTAATAATACTGATAGTGGTAAAAAACACAAATGACGGCCAGCCAGACAGTTATATTTACCAGACATCATGACGCAATACAGAAAATTTCAAAGAAGGACGTCCTTTGGGAAAATCAGTAAATTTATTCAGCAAATTTTCGACACTAAATCCCTAGGTCGTCGTCAGATTTGAGAAGAATGTGCGAAGAACACTTAGCATTTCAAAGTGCTGATACAGTTATATAGTCATATGGTGTGGACGTTAATTGGGAGTTGCAATTTGCGTCACATCGTGGTGGACATAATTCGCAGTCGCAATGGTGTAATGGCTAATTGGCAACTGTAATTTGAGTCAGTCCGGGGTCAGTCCAAGTCATCCCAAAGGACGCCTTTCCTTGAAATTACGTCTCTTGGGATGCCCACCTTCCAGTTTATACGAAGCAATACAGAAAACTCTACATAAAAAATAAGCGTTTGCTTCAGACATCCATATTAGCATTCGATTGAAGAAAGTAATAGAAGGTCAGCTATTTGGACCTATCAGGATTATGTGGGCCGAAAACGAAAATATTGAATGATACATGCGACAGAACGAACTGCTAACTTCCTGAATTCATGAACAGACATTATGTAAAAGAAACGACTTGAAAATAATTCCATTATCATCATGGCTTGTCTAAGACTATGGGTTACACCTCCCCATGCACACGGACCAGTGACACTGAATTTGGAGAGTTGAACTTATTTTAATCTACAATAATGGAGAGTAAATACCAAGTCTCTTTGAATGACCTAAGATATTCGTGTAAGTGTCGTAATGAGTGCGAATTTTCCTTTTTAAGACGAAATCAGTATTCCTTTTGGAAAGGATCGTTAGCAAGAAACAATAGTCAAACGGTCCTTTTCCGTTTGCCCTAAATGTACATAGGCCAGTGCTTAATCGCAACGGATGGCCGATAAACGCAGATTATATCGTTTTCCAACCTCAAGGATTTTGTAGACATATTTGAAGACTTGGATAGCCCGCGAAAAACTTTGATTTGGACGGCGTTATTGCTATTGTTGTGTTTGCCTTTTGAAAGCATAGCCACAGCGAGACTGATGACCAGTGATCAGATATTTTCTCAGGGTTAGATATATCGAGACACTATATTTGCTGTATTTGTGGCCCAAAATAATGAGAATCGTAACGGGTGAAGAACAATGAAATATACACTAAACAGCAATGCAACTAACGGTCAAAGGTATCAAACTATTCCTCTCGAAAGAGGCCTAACTACCAGACGTTAAGAATGAATAGCTACCGTAACCAGAACCACGATCGGCAATACAATGGATAGGCAGTGAACGAAATGCCGCCACCAACAGCTGGGGCAGCCATAAGTCACACAACCACATTATCTGCCTTCCTCAAACTGGGAAAGGTAAATTGGCATCTTGATAAACCGAACCGACAAGCAACCGAGTCACGACCCCCCCCCCAATTGCTGAGGATGTTGACGGCGACAGACTCACACCTTCATACAGCAATAGTCGCAAAGGGCGATGCCTGGAAAGAATAGTTCAGATCGAACAGGATATTTGAGGAAAAGGACTTGATATAAACCCTGGTGATTAAACATCGGCCCGATCAATAATACCAATAAAATACGAAAAATGAGCATCAGCATAAGGTTGACATTTTTCAGAAACATAATTCAATACGCACTTGTAAAATTTAGGGTCCTCGAGATCGTCATCGTAGTCTTCGAAGAATTCATGAAGGCTTTGGGCCTCGGCATTAAGCTCCTCTTGTTTCTTCCTTTCACGATCCTTTTCCCTTTCATACTCAGCAAGCTTTTTCCTTTCACGGCTTTCCCATTGCCGTAAACGCTAAAAAAACGTGCGAGAATTTGGATGTATTATAACAGCTTAAGACACAAGAGCAGTACTAGAGGTGAGAATTTTAAGGTGACATAAGGCCTTGTGGGTACCAGTTTAAATAAATGGCAGTTGGTGTTCTCAAAAGTTAGGCAAAAAACACTCATATGCCATAAAATAGAAACTTGTACAAATAGTTTTCAAAATTACTCACTTCTTGGTAAGATTCCTCCTTTTCCCTTAGCTTCCTTTCGAGCCTTTTCTTGATGGCCTCTTCTTCTTCGTCGACGTGGCTTGACCGCGAGTGGGTGGAAGATGTCAGATGTGAACTTGTGACGGAACCTCGAAGTCGCTTTTTCGACGTCTCGCGAGAGGTTGATCGTGAACGCGAGTGTCTCGTCCGAGCCAATTCGCGTTCAGCCCGGGATCGGGAGTACCGCGAGGAATAATAGTCTCTATCGGTGTCTTTCGGCCGTCTGGTTCTCTCTTCGGTGGGAGTCTCTTTCTGTTGTGGCGTTTAGGGGCGCCATACAAAGCAGATCAAGAGTACACCGTAGAGAATTTTGGCAAAACACATAACTGCGTTCACGGAAGGGGCGCCAAGGAGTCAAAATCAGGCAACTTCCAAAAACAAGTACAACAGCTGCAAAAAGTACTTGCTCGATGGCGCATATGCTTCGACAATAAATACTTTATCAATTTACTCACCCAGCCTCGCGTTATTAGCACAAACGGAAGTTGCTTCGACACGCAAGCAAGATGGGCTAAAAGAAGGCGAGGATTTGCTCAATTCAGATCTACCCTCAAAGTTTTAAACTGCCTAGTCCCGTTAACAGCAGGAAATTGTACTCACCAACGTTGGCTAGTTGTCTTCATAAATTGCTGGTTATATTCATGGCTACCTTTAAGTCCGTGTTCTGTTGTTCATACTGGTGGACGAGGCACAAAAGTAAGCTTGCCAACCCAGCAAAAATTGTGCCACAAGTTGATGGAATCAAAACGGAAATATAAAACAAAATCCGTGTTCGGATGCATCTAAGATTCCTCACCTCATTCCTACGGCGGAAGGTTTCGATTTCCTTGTTAATCAGATCTTTTCGGTCGACGTCAAGATCCATGTCATCAAGCGTCTAATAAAGATAGGAGTAGAACTGTGATGCATGGTGCAATTCGAAGTGTGGATTTCATCACAAAATAATTTGATAAATACTCTGAGATCTTAAACTGTTTCTCATATTAATTTCTGCAAAATATTTGGTGATGTAAGGGTGAAAGGCAGGATTTGTAAAGTTCGAGTGACCATCGGATACATGCCTGACTACTTGCCTAAACTGTGATGTCGACAGTGAACAACATATGGGAAAGCAACTTTCGAAATCAGGTTACGGCTTTTTGGTTGAGGCAAGTGCTTGCTTATGTCGAAGAAGAAAGAAGAAAATCTTGCTTTATCTACGAATAAGCATCATAAATTTTCAGGGAAAAAATGGCTCCATTCACGGAGGTTAAGTAATGGGTCATGTTAAAAGTGACACTAAAGAAACGCTAGAGTATATTTAACTTTCACTTACAACGGCAGAAAGCTATCGCCGCAGCCCACATTGGAAAAATTCTGGAAAATAACTTGAGCCGATATGCCTTAAAGCGCAGTCGCTGCTGCAGTTTGGTATACTTACATCTGGCAGGCTGTGATCGGAAATACCTAGCGACGTGAAAATAAGTTCATCATGGTGGATTTATTAGACGGTATTTAGCAAACTGCGTGCAGTGGATGGTTTTATAAAATCAGCAATTCAGGGACATTGGTATTTCGATTAACTAATTAAATCACATTCGGTTGCTTCTGAGAAAGGGTATGAAAGGGTATCCGAAAGCTTAGAATTATAAGAACCGTGATAAAAAGTTGTAGAAATAACAAGTTAAAAATCAAGTATAAACTCGGGGTCTTTTGTTAGTCTAAAGCGTCAGGAGACAAAAAACTCTAGTCGCAACTAGACTACAAAGGACTGGACTGCAACAACGTGTTTATAAATATGTACCCGGACCCCTTTTCTCCGAATCTAAATGGTTTTGTGTATGAAAGCCAGAAACACCCAACCGCCTTGTAAGTAGAATCAAGGAGCTGGAGATATGAATACCCACAGAACTGTTCGTCAAGTTTAACTATTATTAACTAAAAACGAAAAATATTCGGAGTCTTGTAGGATTAAACTAGGAGGACACTATTGCAATGCGTATTTAGATGTCACCTTAGAATTGCTTAACTATGGGTAGAAATCACGCATGGAATAAAAAAACAGCAAGGCAACTTTACACTTACCAAGTGTCTCGGACCCTCCAGATAGTCCTGGCGATTTGGAGACTCTGAAAATCGATTCGATTTTTTAAAAAGCGTCACTTACCATGGCCTAATTGAAATGCGGCAACACTTTCCTGGAGTATATTTTGCAGGGCATTCTTGACTACTTCATCGTCATGCTTTGTAGCCTCATCCACCTCGGCTGCGGTACTTCCGAGACTGCCATCGTCACCTTCTTTCTGCTTCTTCTTCTTATACTCAGCTAACAAGTCCTCGGTCTTAGGGTCAACTTTGACCTTTGATTTCAAGTAATAATGGAATCAAACTAACCAGAAGTTTCTTGTCGATAATTTCAAATTCATTAAGAAGTCTAACACACCGCATCGTAGACTCAGGGTCCTGATACTCACAAAATCCGAAGGCCTGCAGCTTTCCTGAAGCCCCTTGAACGCGTTTCCAACTAAGAATGTTTCCACACCGCTTAAAATAAAGTAGAATTATCGT